ATCTACGCCAGGCAGTCACATTTGCCCCATTTTTCGTATGAATTTTTTTGGTGGGTAGACTTATTATTGCAGTTGATGCAGACATGTTTGCGGACTCCTTCCTCCGCGTCCGCGAGAGTGGCTGAGCGATGTCACGTACGCCCGGGGGGGGGGGGGGGGGTACACCTTAATAAGGCGGTCCTTAAAACAAGTATTAAAGCGACGGGGTGCTTTTGAAGCGGTGCCGGCACGGTGCATGGACTATACAGCCAGGGTTTCCATAAAATACCCGCCACAGCACGGAGGGGAAAAAAGGGGGGGGGGCATCATGGTGTGCGCTGCGATCTTTTTTTATCCCAGTCGTTCCGTCGCTCTCATTTATACAACCCACTCTCCCCTCCCCGCCACCTGGCTACCGCGGCCTTCCTCTAGAGGCGATACTCCGTGCTCAGGGGACGCCACGCCGCTGCCTAGTCACTGCAGCAGCGATACTCCGTGCTCAGGGGACACCACGCCTCTGCCTAGTCACTGCAGCAGCGATACTCCGTGCTCAGGGGACGCCACGCCTCTGCCTAGTCACTGCAGCAGCGATACCCCGTGCTCAGGGAACCGCCCGCCAGCACTGCGCGCGATACTCCGGCTCAGGGGACGCCACGCCTGCCTAGCACTGCACAGCGTCTCGCGCTCAGGGGACCCACGCCTCCCTAGCCCCTGCAGCAGCGATACCCCGGGGCTCAGGGGACGCCACGCCCTGCCTAGTCACTGCAGCAGCGATACCCGCCCCAGGGGACCCACGCCTGTGCCTAGTCACTGCAGCAGCGTACCCGGCTCAGGGGACGCCACGCCTCTGCCTAGTCACTGCAGCAGCGATACTCCGTGCTCAGGGGACGCCACGCCTCTGCCTAGTCACTGCAACAGCGATACTCCGCGCTCAGGGGACTCGGCGCCCACGCCATCGCGGAACCACTGCTGTGGCGATACTCCAGGCTCAGGGGACGCGGCGATACTCCGCGCGACTACACTGGTGCAATCACGGTCGGGGCGCTAATGTGCGGTGCAGCGGGCTGTCACCGCCACCGCCGCGCCGCCCAGCGCGCCCACGCAACAATCATTGCTTCACGCGTTGGCCTGATTAACTCGCGAACGCACAGTGGGCCAGAAGACCAGCGGTCGAAATCCCGGACGCGATTGAGTCACTAAATGGGACTCGAACCGAACGTGTGACCCCATCAATGGACTGCTCTCGGGACGAGGAATCCATTGGTGGGGTCACACGTTCGGTTCGAGAGCTGCTTAGCGACTCTGGAGCTCAAAACGCGTCCGGGATTTGGACCGCCCCACCGGCCTTCTGGCCCACTGTGCGCCGGCCGCGTCGCCACGCCCCCGTCATCGGCGTCATCGCGGAGTAGAGGGAGACGCGTGGAGAGTTGTGAAGGTCGAGCCTCAGTTTCCCGACGGCCAATTTGTTCCGGAGAGGTTGGGGCGGCGACGCCGACTGCCGAGCCGTGCCGAGCAGTGCCGAGCAGTGCCGTGGGAGTGGGACGAGGCCGAGCACGCCAGGGCGTGGGCAGGCAGGCAGGCAGTCAAAGGGAAGTTGGCCGCTTTGAAAAATGCGGACTGCCCCGGCTATGGGTGCCGTGGGGCTGCGCCGTGGGGCCGGGAGACGTCTGCGGAACCATCTTACCCTCCGAAAAAAAGGGGAAACGAGGCTCGGATAATTTATTTTCGGATGGTAATCCCTACACACGGAGACAACAGAGGTAGGTGCGGGGGTGGGGGCGGGCGGGGGCGGGCTTTTGTCGGGGTGTCTGACGAGGGGTAAACTCCACAAGCAACAAAGCGAGCTTGCGCCCAACCGACCCCCAGGGTAATCACGGGACAAAACCCATTTTGTTGGCCATCCCCTCAACGCATGACCGCGCTCGGCTCGCCCCGCGCCGCTCCGCGCGGCCTGACCTCACCTAGCACGTGTTTAACTCAAACCCGGCTTGAGGCAGGCCGGGGGGCGCAGTGTTGCCACGTCGTAGGCAGACGGGCCCGCGATGCGCAGACAGGGTTGCCAACCTCCACCTGCCTACCAAGCAGTGTTTTTCTTTTGCTCAAGTTGCCTGGTTGGCAACCCTTCCGGGTATTTCTGCCCACCCATGTGGCAACACCTGACCTTGTTTGCAGCTTCTGCCGTGCGAGACGCTCTGTCTCTCTCGCACCGCAGCGGCGCGGCCCGTGAGTGCGACGGAGACAGAGCGCCCGGCGGGCAGGCAGCGCGTCGACGGGCCTGTTCGGCGGGCCGGCCTACACTGCCTTCCGCAGGCGCGCGGGGCCGCCAGAGAAGTTGACAGCCAACCTTACAGCCTGCGGTTGGCCCCCCTTTCGGCATTGGTGCATCAAGGGAATTTTTGGCCACTCGTCTGGCAACAGTGCCACGGTGACGAGAGGGCGACCCGCGGTGGAGGAGTGAACCCTTTGCGACGCGCAGTCCGATCCAAGCCCCGGCCAGCTTCACTCGGCCCAACCTCTCTCTCTCTCTCTCTCTCTCTCTCTCTCTCTCTCTCTCTCTCTCTCTCTCTCTCTCTCTCTCTCTCTCTCTCTCTCTCTCGTGCCCGAGGCGAAAGCAAAAAAAGGGGCCACCGTCGCTAAATTCGGCCCCAATGGAGCAAACGGCCGGATTTGGCCATTTCGCCGACAGTATTTTCCTTGGGTAATTGGTTTAGTTATACCACCGTCCCCTTGTCGCCGGCATCTTGAGGCGTCCCGGCCGCCCGAGCCGCTCAAACCCATCAATAACAATACTCACGCAGAGAGAGAGGGAGTTTGAGCCAGACCGCGCCCGGTTCGGCACGCACAGTGCAAGGAGCCGTGGGTAAGCTCAGCAAAGATGTGGGCCAGAAGACCGCGGATGGAGGTGGCAAAAATCCCAGACGCGTTTTGAGCTCCAGAGTCGCTAAGCAGGACGCGAACCGAGCGTGTGACCCCACCAATGGATTCCTCGTTCGGAGTGCAATCCATTGGTGGGGTCACACGTTCGGTTAGAGTCCGGATTAGCGACTCTGGAGCTCAAAACGCGTCTGGTGTTTTGGCCGCCGCCGCCGGTCGTCTGGCCCACTGTGCGCAGGGCCCTCTAGACGAGGTCCTAGACGGCGGCGAGGGGGAATCATAGCGGCCGAGCCGGGCACGTGCAGCGCGCACTCGCTCTATAGTCCTGCTATTTTACGGCGTAGGGGACGGCGGCCGGAGGTGCGGACGGAAAAAAGAAGAAGGAAAAAAAGCGCTCTTGTACACTTGAGCAGGAAAGTCTGGAGAATTGGCCCCAGCCGGGCCGCTCCAGGAGGGAAGCTTGACTCCAGGCATCGAAATTGAACTGCTCCAGCCTCCAGCCACCGCCGCCTCTGTGCGGACCGGCCGTTGACCTCACGGACCTCACCCGCATGGCCGCGCGAAACAACCCCAGGCCCCGGGGGACATGTTGTGGGTGTCTGCGTCTCCTCATTGTCCGAAGCGCACTTTAAAATAGTTCAAGCAGTGGCCGTTTTGTAGTGTGCAGGGCCCTGGCCAAATTTGAAGCTGACTTGGCTGCGATTCTTTTTAACAGTGTTCTTAAAGTGGAATTCTCGTTGGATAGGTTGCCCTGTTACCCTATTAAGCCGCCAGGCTAAACATATATCCCCGTCCGCGTTCGCCACCAGCCTGTAAATCAAGCGATAGGGTGCTGGTAGGGTAGGGGGAGATGCACAGTGGGCCAGAGGACCGGCGCAGGCGGCCAAAACTCTGGACGAGTTTTGAGCTCTCACGACCTCACCTTCTCCCCTACGCCGAGCAGATGCCTGGAACATGTTCTTAAGATCTCCGAGGGCGCGCCGATGTATTACACCCTCCCCTCCCTTCCCCCGCGGAGCCAACTCGGGTATCCGCGATGTTCCTCAAATTTACGGGCGTTATAATGTGGTGGTACCCGCTGCAGCGTGAGCCAAGGGGCGGGGGCCACACACACACACACACACACACACACACACACACACACACACACACTCTCTTCTCCCGCTCTGCAAGTGTACACTCGACTTCAAGAAACTTTTCCCTGTCGCTGCTCTGGACGGTGGACGCACGGAGACGCGAAAAATAATTAAAACTGCGCGAAATACAATCTGGAACGCGTCAGAACGGTACATGTTTAATGTCCCCCACCAACTCACACACCGTTCTAATTAGCGCGCAGATCAAACAACGCCAAAGTTTGGGGTAATTCGGTAATTAGGAATGCCGGTGGTGAAAGAATCGGGCAAGAAAAGGCGGGAAGCGAGTGGAAACGACGCAGTGTTGCCACACTACGAGGAAAACAGTCCCGCGTGCAGCGCTAGGGTTGCCAACCTCAGCGTTCGTGCAAGGCAAGCTCTTAGAGAGCGAAGCCCAGACGTGGTCGAGAAAGGCAGGTTGAGGTTGGCAACCCTAACACTGCTTATGTGGCAGCACTGCGCAATCGAGTGAGCGAAATGAACAACATTCTGTTTGTTTTGGCGGGGGTTTGGCAGGGTCAATGCCCAGTGGAGCGTGAAGCTGAGCGACCGACGGCCTCTTGGCCCGCGGTCTCTGTTTGCAGAATTAAATTAGAAATGGCTGGCGCGCTCGTCAAGTCCAGAAGGGAGCCGAGCCGGTCCAACAGGGACGTCCCAAAGGACGCTCTGCGAAAAAAAGGGCTACAGTGGGCCAGAAGACCGGTGGCGGCGGCCAAAACTCTAGACGCGTTTTGAGATACAGAGTCGCTAAACAGGTATCGAATCGAACGTGTGACCCCACCAATGGACTCCTCGTTCGGAGAGCAATCCATTGGTGGGGTCACACGTTCGGTTCGAGTCCTGTTCGGTGGTTTCAGTTCCCGACCAATCGGCTGCAGCCTCCGCTCCACCAAGAAGCCACACTTTGAGCGTTTGGATCTCAGGATAAAAGAGTCACCCAAAACATACAAAAAACGAAAAAAAAAATGACAGGGCTTTGCCGGGAGTTGAACCCGCGGCCCCGGCACTCACCGCTTTGTCGCCGAGGTGCTCGACTCTGCAGTGCAGGAATCCCGTCTGGCCCTCCGCGGTGGTCACGTTCCTGGGCACGTTGAAGTCGAAGTACGGGAATATGCTGACATTGCTGCCGGGCGCGTACTCGTCCTGGTCCGTGCCTGCAAATAAACAACACCAAACTTTCAGACGATCCGTTTTCCGAGGTTCGAGGTTCGAGCCCCGCCGCCGCGGCCCCCTTTCCCCCGGATTGTCCGCGTCGTGGTGACGGACCTATCGGCGGGGCAAGTTTCAAGAGGTAAACTGGAAGCATCCATCAATTTCGGTAGTTTATAAGGCTTTGAAACGACGAGGCAAACTTGCAGGCGATAGGGAGGGGCGCCTTATGTAGGTCATGACGGTGGCGTTGGTGTGATCGCGGCATCGTGGCATCGTGGCATCGCGGCAGCGCGGCGAGGAACCGAAGGGAGCCGACGGCAGCCAACGGCGGCGGCCGAAGAGAACCGACCCAAACTTTTGCAAACATGACACTTCCTCGCATAAAGCGTGGCACATGAGGATAGGCCGCACACACACACACACACACCCACACACACGCACACACACACACGCACGCACACACACACACACACACAACACACACACACACACACACACACACACGAAACAGCGGGAAAAGAATGGACTGGCCCCACGCGCCGCACTCTCAACGCTAACATTATAGTTATGGAGAAACGACCAGAAGAAATGAAGGCCAGGCGGGGGAAAAAAAGGTCCTGGATTTCTGTTCCTTCACCATCGTAGAGACTTCTTGAATCGAGGCCTCATTCTTCCGAAGCTATTCCCCGTCGCCCGAGCCAAGAACGAAAACAAAGGCGAAATAAGGTTGTGTCATTTGGAACGGGACTGCAAGCGTCGGTGACTGTGACTCGGTGGTTTCAGTTTGTTTTGCGAGAGGTGGTCCGAGTCCAGCGTCCCCAGCAGGTGTCCTTCTCCCTCTCAAGCGAGAGAGAGAGAGAGACAGAGAGACAGGGAAGTTTCTCGCGGGCTCCGCTCCCTGTCGGCAGTTCGAATAAACGCGCGGGTCGCGAGGAAGCCAGGATTTACGAGTGTCGTTTCCGTGCTTCCGCGATGCGTTTCGCCGGTCGAAAATCGGTGGCCGTGCCATGCCGCGACCGCCGTGTCAGCCAACGCGACCAAAATCCTAGACGCGGCGCTGAATGGGACTCGAACCGAACGGGTGACCCCACCAATGGATTGCTCTCCGAACGAGGAATCCATTGGTGGGGTCACACGTTCGGTTCGAGTCGCATTTAGCGACTCTGGAGCTCAAAACGCGTCCGGAGTTTTGGCCGCCTCCGACGGTCTTCTGGCCCACTGTCGGTCACCAGCGTCGTCCCACTGCAGCGCCGGACATTGCAGGAACCCTTTCCTGCGCGGGAGGAACGGTGGTGCTCAGACGTAAGGGGGTCGTCTGCCGAATTTCAACACGGTATTATATGCAAATTGCGCGCGCACACACACACACAGACAGAGGGGCGCGTGAATAAAAAAGGCAGTCTTTTACGGGCGTGCCCCAGAGCCCCCGAGCCACAGAGGGTGCCGCATGGCCGCACCACACGCCCTCCCCCTTCGGGGCCTACACCGCCAGGACCGCCAGGACCGCCGGCCTCGTAATTGGTGCCATGAAGTGACTCACACAATTACCAAGATAATGAAAATGATTATGATTATGCCAGCCCTTCACCTCAATGATACTGGAGCCGCAACGCCTGTCGTCAATTCGCACCCCGCCCATACCCAGTCTCTCTCTCTCTCTCTTCTCTCTCTCTCTCTCTCTCTCTCTCTCTCTCTCAACAATCGTTTTTTTGTTGGTCTGGCAGCAGGCAGGGTCACAAGCAATTACCGTGCTTCCTCTGCGAATCCAGGAATCCAGGACAACGGGGCGGCAGGCAAAAGGAGCAACTTACATGTGTCTGTTCCTCGGGGACACTTTGAAAGGCCCGTTTCGGGGAGGGCGGGGACCGACGGGGACACACAGGCTCGGTTTGACTCGGGTTTGACCCGGCTCGGCTCGGCTCGGCTCGGCTCGGCTCGGCTCGGCTCGGCTCGGCTCGGCTCGGCCCACTCCGGACGTGGCGCCCCCAGCGCGACAGTGCGATTCACCCAAGTAAACTCAATTTCAAACTTGTTTGGTGTCAGCAAATTTTCATGTATTATACATGCAGCGGACCGACCGACCGCGAGGCAGTGGGTGTCCAGGGGCCCGCGCCACTGCCGGAGGGCCGGAGGGCGGAGGGGGAGGGGGAGGGGGAGGGGGAGGCAGTGGAGCGTTGTTAAAAACCAAAGGGCCAGCGCGCCAGCCGGGTAGGGCGAGGGGCGCGGGCCCCGCACCAGAAGATGAGGTGGGCAGTGCCGACGCAGATGTAATCTGGCCGTTGTTGCTACATATTTCTCATTCTTTACGGTGCAGAGGCTGGCCACTCTGACGGGTCCACTGCTCCACGCCCGGCCCCTCGGGCCCTGGAGAGGGACGCACACTGGTGGAGGCGGCCAGAATGCCAGACGCGTTTTGAGCTCCAGAGTCGCTAAATGGAACACGGACCGAACGTGTGACCCCACCAATGGATTCCTCGTTCGGAGAGCGATCCATTGGTGGGGTCACACTTTCGGTTCGAGTCCTGCTTCGCGACTCGAGCTCAAAACACGTCTAGAATTTTGGCCGCCTCCACCGGTCTTCCGGTGGGCAGCGCGCCTGTGAAGTCGAGGGTAGGCAACACGCAACACTCACGTGCGAGATGTTGCCTAGGCAGCAGGCGCTCCGAAGTAAAAAAACCCAACCACGAATGAGACAAACAGAATATTTGATGTTTCTTCTGGAAAAATGAAAGAGACATTTCTTTCAAAAAGCGTAAACAAGTGAAAATAATGGAGAAATTGTCAAGCAGGGGTTGGGGTGCGCGGAGCAGACTCGCTGCAATGATCGCTCCGACCGACTCACTTTCGGTCCCGAATAAATTATGTAAGTGTTTGGGGCGCGCGGGCCGGGCGGGCCGGGGCCTCGCGGAAAGAGTTTGGCCTAAAAAGCGCCCAGGGAGGGACGGACAGGCCAGGCACAGTGTGGGCCACAAGGACGGTGGAGGCGGTCAAAGCCCCGGACGCGTTTTGAGCTCTAGAGTCGCTAAGTGGGACTCGAACCGAACGTGTGGCCCCACCAACGGGTTGCTCTCCGAACGAGCAATCCATTGGTGGGGTCACGCGCTCGGTTCGAGGCCTGTTTAGCGACTCTGGAGCTCAAAACGCGTCTGGAGTTTCGGTCGCCTCCACCGGTCTTCTGGCCCACTGTGGGTGACACCTAAATCGGGCAGAAGCGTGTCGCGATGACGCGTCTGCGCGTCGGTCGGCGGCCAATGGGGCGGCCGCATTGGCGCCCCTCGTTAGTCGAGGCCTCGGCGCCCTTGGCGGCTTGGGCCACCTGCTAACTGAACTAGCCGCAGTCCCGCAGTGGCCGCAGTCAGCAAACGGAGCGGTCCCCCCCCTCCAGTCCGTTTTAACGGTCCGCTGGGCAAGGCGGGGTCAGTGGGCCCGGCCCGGGGTGAGACTGATGCTGTCGTCAGGCGGCGGGGCCCAGGCCGGCCTAGGCTGCCAGCCCTGGCTGCCCGGCTGGGCGCAGGCACGGCCAGGGCTGGTGACCTCAATATCCGATGCATGAGCGCGTCGCTTGCAATTTCCATTAATTCTCAACGCGTACCGAGGTGCCGCTCGCCCACCTCACGCCCCCCCCCCCCACTCCACTGTGGCCCCGAAAGCACCGTGTCGCCGTGTCGGTTCCATGCCAGTCAACAGCTTTGTCACCGGACCTGAACTGGCGGCGGCCACTTGTCACTGCACTGCGAAACAACGACGACGACAACAACAACAACAAAGGACGAAAAACAATCGCGGTGGCCGCGTTGCGATTTTCCGCGCAGCTTTCCCCCGCCCCGCCCCGCCCCGCCCCGCCCCTCACAGGGCACTCGCCAGAATGGATGTCCCGCCACGCCACCACGCATCCCACGCCTTTGAAGGCAACGCCCCGACATGACCTTGGCCGCCAGAGCCTTTGAACTTCGCCCAGAAGGAGAAAAGGGATTCGAAGAACGAACCAAATACTGGAGGAAAAAAACGAAAGAAAACAGTGGTCTCGTTTTGGGTTTGGCGCGGTTTTCCGCCCCCGTCTGGTTTTGCATGGCGTTTCCCTTTCGCCGTATTTAAAATTCATTTCATGGCCCGCGGTCCGCGATGCCCGCCCCGTCTGTCTGGGCCGCCCCGCCCCGCCCCGCCCCCCGCCCCGCCCCGCCCCGCCCCGCCCCGCCCGCCCCGGGTACAGACGGCCAGGGAGGAGTGACCGGGATATCGCGGCACCTGCGCACCGCGCTGCGCGAAACAAAAAAAAAAGATCATGAAAATCCAAAGTTTGGAATGAATAAAGAAACTGCGTGAAGCATGCGAACACGCGGCTACCGTGGAGCGGGCGGGGCGGGGCGGGGCGGGGCGGGCGGGCGGGGCGGGGCGGGGCGGGGCGGCGACGAAGAATCACCTGTCGGCAGGCTGATCGGGAAGCACTTTATTCGAAACCAACTAGAACGGGCATCGCAAAAATACATTCCATTTCGCTGGTAAATACGAGAGTGGAAATCGAGGACAGGCGCTCGCCGCGTTTCAGCGGACGCCAAAAAGACCAGGTTCATTAAAACATTGATGCCCCTGATTCGAATCGACGTTGAAGTGTGCGTGGTGCACACCGTGAGCGTGGCTATTTTTTTTCCGAAACACAAAAAAGTATACAAAACAAGTAAACAAGGGGAAAAAATGACATGAGCAACGCACTGGGGGGTATTTGAACCCGGACCCCTGCAGCTGAGAGGGGCTCAACAAAACGCCGGGTCACCATGAAACAGGCAAATTAAAACGAGTGCGTGTGAGTGCGTGTGTGCGGCGGGCACGCTGCGAGGCGGCGCCGTGCTCGGCAGTGGGGTGGCAGACGATTCCGGAGCGCCTCGTCAGTCCGTCTCCCTCCCTCCCTCCCTCTCTCTCTCTCTCTCTCTCTCTCTCTCTCTCTCTCTCTCTCTCTCTCTCTCTCTGTTCGTGTGTGCGTGCACCACCCGTCTGTATTCGCGAA